AAGCCTTGTCGAAAACCCTAAGAGCAACCTGCATTATACTATACTCGAGAGCTTCAAATGAACAATGATTTCTAAGGTGTTTGATGATGATCTAAACCAGAAATCTCCACTGAATTGATCCTTGTAGCTATGTTCATACATGAAGGCCATTTACTGTTAAGGAATGCTGGTGCAAGGTTGGTTTGAAGGTTAAGTTTGAGCCTAAGGTTGCTGAGGTGCTAGGTCAAGGTTGAGACAGGTAAATTTGAGCTATTTACATTTGTTGAGCACTTGTTCTTGAACTATACTTTGCTGCAAATGGATTCTTACTCTCAGACTTGTGATTTGGCCTATTATCTGGTTTAGCCTTGTGATTCATATATAGATTGATTATATCTTGCTATACAATGTTTGATCTACCCTCTAGCAAGTTTGTATTGATGAATCAAGGCTGTTGAAGTTGGCATTTGGACAGAACTTTGGTTGTCTCAGGTTTTGACCTACCAAAACCCTAAGTTCTTGAGTGAACAGTTGTTGTCAAGCCTTATTTGTGATTGTAATGATATATAGATGATGTACTTATTATGTTTATCATCTGAGCATGATTATATTGGTGATATAAGGCTGTGGAAGTGATTACAGAATTTTCAGGACACAGATTTTCCATTTTACCCCTCTAACCCTAGTTTCTGCAGAAAGGGTTTTAGAGGCCTGAGATTGTTGGTTTAAGCTGCACAACCACTCTTATCTTTTGTGTATACTTGAATACTATTGATATGTATCCTTTTATATGTATTGGTGAACTATGAGAGCTTGTAGGGTCCAAGCAAGGGTGCTTAGGACAGGGGGAGTGCAGCGAGCACTATGTTGAGCTAGTGTGTGTGTAGTGGCTGTGAAAACTAGCGTCTTATCTTGTACAAGGGTGTGTGCAGAGAGTGAGACAGCTGAGTGCGTAACTACTTGCATATAGCTAGTGGAGCTTATTATTGGTTGAGGCCAAGAACAAAGGTTTTTCCCTATTAAGAGGGTTTCCTAGTACATCTTGTGTTTTATGCCTTGTGTGTATTTGTTGAGCTTGCAGTGAGATTGGAAAAGATTATTTTAACCAATTCACCCCCCCTCTTATTCTAACAGTTCATAGCCAAGAACCTTAGAAGGCATGCAATTGATAAGGTATGCAGCCGTTAAGGCTGCATTAGCCCAATAACTTTTAGGCACTCCCATCCCAATTAGAAGAGAACAGGTCACCTCCGTAAGATGACAATGTTTTCTTTCAGCTACACCGTTTTGTAGTGGTGTTTCGGCACATGAGGTTTGATGGATAATCCCATTATCAGCAAAAAAAGTGAGGCAAGACCACAATATACATAAACTCTCCTCCAATATCAGATCGAAAGATTTTGAGCGGACAACCAAACTGAGTACATACCATCTTGTGAAAGGTTTTAAAGATGGAATGAACTTCATCTTTGGTTTTCATAAGATAAAGCCAAGTATAACGACTAAAGTTGTTGTAAAGCATAAAACGGAAGCAAAGAGAGAAATAAAACAAATGGAATACACAGATATTACATTGTTCAGCCCACTAGGGCCTTCATCTACGGCACAAAGAGCCCAAAGGGCTACATCACTTTTATAATACTCTCTCAATTCATACATAATACAATGGTGGAGGCTCCTTTATACAGGAGAAGAAATTATAAGAATGGAAAGAACTAGAAAATAGGAAACAAGGAGAATTTTTCATAACTGATTCCTCTAGTAACACCAAAACTTTAATAATATGAAACAACATCAATTACTGAAACATTTTCCTCCACTGATTCCTCCATTAAATCTTCAATACTCCCCCTCAAGTTGAAGCATGAATGCCCAACTTGCCATTAAGATGATGAGTAACAAGTATGAATGATGAAGAGAGAAGAGAGAAGACGAAGAACAATGCTACCAAAGACACCAACAGCCCAAACAAGTCAACAAAAAACTGCCGGAGACACGGCAAAGGTGAGGACAATGCTACCAAACACACCGGTAGCCCAAACAAGTTGATAAAAACTGTCGGAGACACTTCAAAAACGAAGACAATGATACCGAACACACCTACAGCCCAAACAAGTCAATAAAAACTGATGGAGACACGGCAAAGGCTAAGAACATTACTGCTGAACAAATTGGCAGCCCAAACAAGTCACAAATAGCACCAAGAAACCCTTAGCAACATTTCAGATGCCAAGGGAATACCCCAAAATAGGGGTCCGAACCTAGGAAGAGAAATTAGGCTGTAATACCATGTTGTAAAGCATAAAACGGAAGCGAAGAGTTAAATAAAACAAATAAAACACACAGATATTACCGAAATATTTTCCTCCACTAATTCCTCCATTAAATCTTCAATAAAAATCATCAACAAACACAACAAAGTAGCGAAAACCAAGTAACGAAGTAATAGGTTCAGGTCCCCACACATCAAAATGAACAAGCTACAAAGGAGCTGTACTTTTATTAATACTAGAAGGATAAGAAACACGACATTGTTTGGCAAGAACACATGTTTCACAATTTAACTCAAAAGATTCAACAGAAGCAAACTAGGGAAGCATCTGCTTCAAAACAGAAATAGGTAAATAACCGAGTCTATTATGCCATCGCTTCAACATATCTTTATTGACATTACTATTCCTAACACTGGATTGATTTGCAACATAATAAGAAGTTGGCCTTGCGTCCAGCAAATACAAGCCATTGTCCTCACGTCCACTCCCAATCGTCTCCCGCATGTCCAAATCCTAAAACACATAGTCAGATGGAAAAAAGGTTACACTACCATTCAAGCCTTTTGTAATGTGACTGATAGAAAGAAGATTATTGGTAAACTTTAGGACATGAAGGACAGATGACAAGGGAAGTTTAGGTGGCAGAAACAGTGCCTTTCCCCGTAATAGAGGAGAAGGTGCCATCAGCCACTCTAACCTTATCCCTACCCGAACATAATGTGTACGAAGAGAAGTCAAATACCATACAGTCATGTGATCAGTGGCTCTTAAACCAATGATCCAGGGTGTCCCACCAGATAATGTGGACACATAGCGTGCCGAATGAGAGGTACCTGAGCAAAGTTAGAGGTGAAGATGGAAGCATTGTGAGCTAGCAGATGTCAAAGAGCATCAACTTCAACCCCGGACAAGGAGCTCAGTAAGCTTAAGAAGGCATGACTAGTAGAAGCAGTCTCTTGGATGTGTTGTAGATAAACCCCTAAATGGACCAGACCTTGGCCTAACATTCGCATGAGCAGGAGCTGGAGTAGGGCGACTGTGTAGATTCCAGCATCTTTCCCTAGTGTAGTGCGTACGCCCATAGTGATCACAGCTTAAGTTGCTCTTATCATCTTGTTTCCCACTTGTTGAAGGATTGGGTTTGTTCCATTTTTGTGTGGCAAGAGCAGACCTTTCAGACAATGGTACTTCTGGTTCAAGCTTAGTGTATACAGGTGCAGACATAGCCTTCATTCTACTCTCCTCAACTTGGATATACGAAAACACATCTCTAACAGAAGTAGGGACTAGATACCTGCCTAACACTTGTACCCTGGCATGCTCGTATTTTGGATGCAGACCACCCAAGAACACATAGATACGATTCCTTTCTACCGTAGCCCGAAATGCTTTTATATCAGCTACACACACAAATATATAGTCTTGGTAGTGATATAACTCTTCCCATTTACCACGTAAAGTGTGGTATAATGTAGCAAGAGCTTGGTCTTCCCGCTTGAATCTTGAAATCTATTGTTGGAGCTCATACTGTTTTGCAAAATTACTAGAGGAATACGTATCTTCCACAGCCTTTTATAGTTCTTTAGTTGTTTTCACAAATAGAAACCCCTTGCTGATTCGTGGCTGCATTGACTACAACAACCACGTCATAACTAATGCATTATTTGCAATCCACTCTTTGAATTCAGGATCACTTTTGGAGGGATACGTGACAGTCACTTCGATATAGTCAATTATCCTCCGACCAGTGATATACATACGAGTAGATTAAGATCACTCCATATAGTTCGTTTCATCCAGCCTAAGAGTCATAATACAAAAGCCTGGATGGTGATGACTACTACCTCCCAACACTAGAGTCAGACTAGGAGAAGACCCAGCTTCTTTTGAAGTCACCTCTGAGCTAGACATTTTATCAAACAATTTCTGGGTATACACTCCTCAGAAACAAAACAACAACAAAATATGTAGAGAACCACCTCTCTAACATACAAACAACTGCAACTAGAGAGATTACCGTCTTCGGAGATGCATAAAAAAATGACCACATAGTCACCACACAAACCCTAGAAAGCAACAAAATAGACATACCAAAATTGCGCATGACAAAGAAAAAGCCACTGTTGCAAAACCACGCGAACGCGAAAAAAATCCAAAAAACCGCCAACCAACTCAGCGCAGAGTTGGATCCGCTGTACGTGTGAATGTTATTAACACTACTTCCTTGCAAACAAATCCCATCTTGGAATATCTTCAAAACCCTTCACACCCACTAGGGTTTACACAAACTTTCCATAGGGTTTCAACTACACACCCTAGAGCTTTACATACCACGCTCTAATACTATGTTGTCTTTAAGAGATAATCAAACTAGAAATAAAGTAGAAGATGAAGAAGAAGAGAAGGAAGAGGAGGAAAGAAAAGGAGAGAGATGGGGAAAAAGAGAGAATGAAAGAATCATTTCATTCTTCCACCACATTTTATTTATATTAAGAAGTTTCAGAAATTACACATAAGCCCCCAACATTATATAAGTAATAACAAATAAGCCCCTGACAACAGATACCTCTTTTTCATATCATATCTTGTCAACCTTGAGAATGAAAATTTAATAGCCTCATATATTAATTAAACTAATTTGTTAGTTAAGTTGATCTGAAATAATTTTTCTGATATCAAACTTAAAGGGCAAAGCCTTAAATTTATGCTTCATGCGTAACACAAGAAGAAAGGAGAAGCAAAACATACCAGCCACATCAACAAATAGATCATGTTTGAGTTTATGCACTTGGCGAAATCGGTACACAAAGATAGCCCCAAGTAGCAGAAGAATGAATGCACCGCAGCTTGCACCAGTAATCACAATTTCAAGTTTTGATTTTCTGTTCAAAACTGCCACATAATCTAAAAATTAGGTTTTGTTTAGATATTTGCATTGACAGGATCAGTAGAAAAGCAACAATAGAATGAATAAACCTGCAGGAATGGTGGAACTTGAAACACAAGGTTGCTGCAAGGTTGAGCCACAATTAAGATGAGTTCCTGTAAAGCTGATGTATGTGATGCATAAGATAGAGAACCCAATGAAAAAGAATCAAAATAGATATGTAATAACTTCGGTATTTTCTCATGTTAACAGAATAATTGAAATATTTGGTCATACAAATTCATCAAAACATAGCACTAAAATAATCAACGCAAACAGCAAATGAGGGATTTTTTTTTTTTTTTTTTTTTTTTTTTTTTTTTTGCAGGGTGAGGAAAGTAAGTTGAAAATAGATGCTCTTATAAGACATCAAAGAATGACAAATGAGTTGCAAAAATAAAAATAAAAAATAAAAAAAAGAGGAAAAACTATGACAATGATAGTTCAACAAAAAAACCTCCATTTTTTAGAACTCAAAATTCTTAGTTTTTCGTGTATAAAGGAGCATCATTTTGGGAAATGGAAGTATAAACAGACAGTAAAAAGTTCCTTTCAAATAGCCTTTTTGGAACTTGTTCTTTTTTTCATGGTCTGGCATCTAGTTCAAAGCTTTTATTGTTAGCACTCCAGAAGTCCAATGAGTTAATGTTTAACAACTCCACCATTATTAGTGTAGTTATTAAACATATAAAAATTAAAAGCATCTGCGTCCAAGATACTTCATTTGATGGAAGAACAGATGCTATCATGCATGCTACCAAAGGAAGTGGTACAATTAGTTTTTTGGAAAAAACTGGACACATTCCATCATACCAGTTAATCATTCATGACAGTAAGTTGAATTATAGGGTTTTGGAATGTTGGGGTTTGGAGAGGAAAGATAAAAGAAAGAGAGAATAAGACAGAGTAGAAAAGGAATGTAAGAAAGGGTTGTAGAATATTTTATGACATCTCTACACCCATGTATTTATATTCTTCAGAGATGTAATTACTGTTGGAAGATGTATATTATTTCCTTTGTTTTTAGGGATTTGATTGATTTCTGACTATTGTAAATTAGAACAAGATTGTAGGACAGATTGATTGCAGTAAAATAGGATAGATAGATTGATTGCTTAAAATTAGGAACAGATTTGTAGGAAGATTTTTTATTCTTTTCCTTTTATAGCTTTCCCTCTTTCCTTTATATACTTGTACAAGATGTTAATATATGAGGCAGAATATTTTACGGAGAGAATTCTACATGGTATCAGAGCAATAGTGTGAGAAAGAGAGAAAAGTTTCACGGGTCTGATATCGCTGACCTATTCTCTCTGTCCTCCTATTCTTGCTCTCTTGGTATGCAATTGTCTTGGACAACACCCTAAAGCCTTGATTCTAAACACCATAGACATCGAAACATGCCTGTCGCTACCTCTAAATCTTCTGATTCTAGTACAGCACTGCCCATTCCTTCGATTGTGACAAATCAACTTGATAACATGAGTGTGCAGATGACTTCTTACAAACTTGATGGGACGAATTATTCTGCCTGGTCCCAATTTGTGAAGTTGCACATCACAGGAAATGGAAAGTTGGGGTACTGGAGTGAAGAAACAGCCAGCGGATACTGAACCTTCCTTCTCTACTTGGTTGGAGGAGAATGCCACGTTGACGTCAAGGCTTCTTTACTCAATGACTCCGCATATTAGAGCCAGTTTTCTTCAACTTCCCACAGCTCATGCTATTTGGGAAGCTGTGGCTCAAACCTATTTTGACGGTAGTGATGCTTCTCAGATTTATGAACTGAGGGGCAGGGCAAATGAGACTCGACAACTGGGGAAGACATTGGCTAGCTATTTTTCTGCTTTGCAGGCCATTTGGCAGGAGCTGGATTTTCTCCAGCCATGTGATATGGAGTATGTTCGGGATACAACATAGCTAAAGAAAAGAATTGAGAATAAAAGGGTCTACGATTTCCTAGCTGGCCTCGACCCAGGGTTTGATTGTTAAGAAGAGAAAACAGAGCCACGACAAATTTTCAGATGTGGAAGTCATACGTTCCCTTTGGTTCTTGTTGAAACACTTGTATGTATATATGTATTTATGCTGGGGTCTTATTGTAATTAGATATAGGGTTTGTGGCCATTATGTAATTAGGCCTTTATTGTATTGTATATAACTCTCTTTATGTTTTAGGTTTAAATATATATATGAAAAATGTGGGCTGAGACTCTCACCATCTCTCTCGCCATCTCTCTCTCTCTGTATCTCTATTCTCATTATATTCAAATCTCCATTTCTACATGGTATCAGAGCAGATCGAAATTGTGAGTGTGGGAAATTGCAATTGTATTGTTCTTGTATAGATCTGTAGATCTGTTCACAGCTCGTGACGGTGGTGTTGTTGCCGTTTTGGTTGTCGACGAGCTCGCCGCCTTCTCTTGTCGTCACTGCTCGTTGCTCGTTGCTTGGTCACCGGCGGCTGTCGTCGCGTTGCTGCTCATTGTTTGGTCACCGACGGCTGTCGCGAGGTGCATTGCTGCTTGTTGATTCCATCGTCACTACGTGCTTGCCGGAGAGCTGAGAGACTAATGGTGTTTGGCTACAGGGTGCTTGCTATCCTAATCCAGGTTAATATAAACCGCATTTGTTCCGACCCGATCCAAGGTTCGACCCGTTCGACCCGAGTCAAGGTCCGACCCGATTCAAGATCCGACCAGTTCAACCCGATTTAAGATCCAACCCGTTCGACCCGATTCAAGATCCGACCCGATTTACTTACCGGTTCTGTTTCTGTTGTTCCCGGTTCAACTCTAGTCTGGCCTTCTCAGGTGCAACAGCTTCTTTGGTTTCTCGGTACAGATTTGGCATCTTAACTTGGCGGAGATAAGTTCTTTTTTTTTTTTTTTTCTTGTCATATTCATATCTCCATGCCGAACAATTCAAATGTTGCTTCTAGGTCTACTGGAGTTAAATCTTCTGCAACATATGTTGATCCTGTTGGGCTGCAAATTACTTCTATGAAATTAAGTAATTCCGATTACTTACTATGGGCTCAAGCAGTAAAGATTTCTTTAGGTGCCCGACGAAAGCTGAAGCTTATTACAGCTGATCCTTCATAAAAAACATCAGCAACATATGAGGAGTGGGAAACTGATGACTATATGGTTATGTCCTGGTTGTGGAACAGTATGGAACCTTCAATTGCATCCACCTTTATGTTTGTCAACACTGCCAAGGCAATATGGGATGCAGTTAAAGAAACTTATTCTATGGACACAAATATTTCTTGCATATATTCATTATATGAAAAGATATTTCATTCTCGTCAATCTGACTTCTCTGGTCAAGGCCTTGGTGAGCATTACAGTAATTTCAGAAGCCTGTTAGATGAGTTAAATCAGTACCACCCCTTAACTAGTGATCCTGATCTTCTCAAGCGACAATGTGAGAAATTTTTCGTTTCCATTTTTCTTGCTGGTTTGCACCCAAACCTTCATAATATTCGGGACCAGATTCTTGCGGGTGATGGAGGGCTCCCATCTTTGGGTAACATTTATTCCCGCTTACTTAGGGTTTCAGAACAATCACGTGACGCCCACTGGAGTGAAAGAAAATTCAGCTATGATGATTCCTTCTATTTTTCCACAGTCCTCTCGAGGTCGTGATAGTCCTAGTGGCAACAGAGGGTATGGTGGAAATTCAGGTGATACTCCTAGTGGCAACAGAGGGTATGGTGGAAATTTAGGTAGTTCTCGTGGCGGTAGTGGCTGTGATAGAAGTCGCAATCGCCGTGGTCGTGGACGTAGTGACACTCATATGTGCAGCCACTGTAAGGGTACTAACCATTCTGTTGAGAACTGTTGGACTCTTCATGGGAAACCAGCATAGGCAAATCAAGCAGTGTCTTCCTCTGACCTTACGGGGTCTCATCCCTCTCTTGGTCAGAATTCTGTATTACCATCACCTGCATCTACTAGTGACACTGTGACACTGTCACTATCACGAGCTGAGTTCAGTGCATTGGTCAACCGAACACATCCCAACTCTACTGATGTAGTTAATTTTGCGCAATCAGGTAATATTGCATGCTTGTCCGATTTACAGACTTCAGCATCCCCTTGGGTTATTGACTCTGGGGCTTCTACCCATCTCACAGGTGATGCCTCTCTATTTTCTAATTTTCAGAAGTCTAGTTCCTCATCTTTTGTTACTCTGGCTGATGGTAGAACATGTTCCATTATTGGCCAGGGAACAATTAAATTAACCCCATCCATTTCTTTATCCTCTGTGCAATTAGTTCCAAATTTTCCCTTTAATTTATTATCTGTAAGTAAATTGACTCAAGCTCTGAACTGTTTTGTCACATTTTATCCTTCGTCTTGTGTCTTTCAGGACCTTAACACGAAACAGACGATTGGTGGGGCCAGTAACAGAAATGGCCTGTACTATTTGGATTGCAAACCTTCCACTATTGCTTTACATTCCCAGATGTCTGTGTACCAGTGGCATTATCGGTTAGGTCATCCCTCGTTGCGGTATTTGAAGTCTACTTTGCCTTTCCTTGAGTCGGTGTCTATTTTAAATTGTGAATCTTGTCAGTTGGGTAAGCACCATAGAGTGCCTTTCCCTCCTCGTATTGTTAATCGTCGGTTTTCTTTATTTGAATTAGTACATACGGACATTTGGGGTCCCGCGCGTTACACTAGTCACTCAAGTTTTTCTTATTTTGTTACCTTTGTTGATGATTATTCAAGGATGACTTGGTTGTTTTTAATGAAAGACCGTTCTGAACTGTTTTTCATATTTCAAATATTTTTAAAAGAAATTGAGGTCCAATTTGGGTGTGTTATACGCACTTTACAATCTGATAATGCTATGGAGTATGTCAAAGGTGCTATTTCTAGTTTTTACGACTCTCGTGGTATTTTGCACCAAACTTCTTGTTCTTATACTCCCCAACAAAATGGCGTAGTTGAACGGAAAAATAGGCATTTAATTGAAATAGCTCGTACATTGATGATACATATGCATCTTCCAAAAGCATTTTGGGGCGATGCTGTTTTAACCGCTTGTTATTTAATTAATGGTATGCCATCTTCCGTTCTAAATTGGAAATGTCCTTATTCCTTTGTTTTTCCT